AAAAGTTAACATAAAAGAATTCATGGTTAGCTAGATTTCCATATAATTTCATTTAGTGTTTACTAAGAGAGAAAAGTATTTTAGGAATAATCTTAATATAAAAAGACATTAATATCTAAATAGGAAAATGCTATGAATAGGCTATCAATGAAAAGTAATTTGAAATTACTAGTAGGTTGTGGGAAAATTTCAACCTAACCTAAGTAATCAATACACATTATACAATTGGATTTAGTTTTAAGTTTCATGGAATATTTGATGTAAATATGTCAAAATATTTACAAAACATATTTGTTAGACAACATGAGACAAAAACCTGGACCCACTCACCACTGGAAGCAAACTTCAGAACACACTTGATTATGTGTGTCCTCCCAGTGTGGTCCTGTTGGGTACACTGTTTTCTCAGCCTCCCATTATTGTTTCAATTTCCTTTGTCACGTTTATCACTTTTGCAATAAAAAGTTTGCCCATATATGTATTTATCTGCAAGCATTGTATTACTTAATTTTGCTTATTTTTAATTTCCTGATTGATTTCTCTTACTCTCTTTTTTTCCCTGTTTGTAGCATTTGCATGATGTTAAAGAAGATACGGGGCGCCTGGGTGGCTCAGTTGGTTGAGCATCCGACTCTGTTTTGGTTCAGGCAGGTCATGATTTCACAGTTTGTGAGATCGAGCTCTGTGTCAGGCTCTGTACTGACAGCATGGAGTCTGCTTAAGACTCTCTCTCCCTCTTTCTCTGTCCCTCCCTTGCTCGTGCTTTCTCTCTCAAAAAAAAAAAAAAAAAAAAAAAAAAAAAAAAAAAAGATACACAGATGGAAGGGATTGCGTTAAATTTGGATTCGTACGGGTAGAGAATATCAGTATCACCTGGGGGCTTGCCACAGTTACTTGGACCAACTCAGACCCATTAGGATGGCTCGTATCAAAACCAGAAAATTATAAGTGTTGATGAGAATGTGGAGAAATTAGAACCTTGTGCACTACTGGCGGGAAAGTAAAAGGGTGCATCTGCTGTGGAAAACAGTTTGGTGGGTGTTTAAAAAATAAAACTTGTAATTGCCAGTTCACATGGCAGTTATGCTTCTGGGTATATCAAAAGCAGGATCTCAAAGACATATTTGTATACATGTGTTCATAGCTACGTTATGTGCTAAACGTGGAAGTAACCCAAGTGTTCATCACAGATGAGTGGATAACAAAATGCAATGTATATGTGCAATGGAATAATATTCAGCCTTAAAAAGGAGGAAAATTCTGTAACCTGCTACAACGTGGGTGAACATTGAGGACATTTTGTTAAGTGAAATATGTCAGGTACAGAAGGACAAAAACTGTCTAATTCCACTTCTAATTCCACAGTTCTAAGGTACTTAGATTCGTCACAAAGTCGAAGTAGTACAGTGGGTGCCAGGGGTTGGGGGAGGAGGGGAAGTACTTAGGGACTAACGGGTGCAGAAATTCAGTTTCACAAGAGGAAGTGAGTTATGTGACTGGATGGTGGTGACTGCTTCAGGACATTGTGGATGTGGTTAATGCCAGTGAACCGTACATGTAAAAATGGTGACGCTGGTTTATGTTATGTCTATTTTACCACAGTAAGAGAAATTGGGAAAATTAGTGGGAAGTGTTTGGTTTTGTATTTTTATTTTTTAAACTATAAGCCTCTTGAGAATCACTTTCTGAAGGAGCTCATCTTAAGGGGAGCCGAAAAGATTGAGGAGTTTTTTTGTTTTTTGTTTTTTGTTTTTTTTTGTTTTGTTTATCATGTCCCTCTGAGGCCACTTTGGAAGACAGATGAAAGATGAAGCCTGTCCCTTCTTAGTGGAACTGATGGATCTTCTGAGGAATTTATAATTATTTGCACAAGGCAGTATGTCTGTAAGAGACATATTAAAAATTAGAATATGCAAGAGTTGAGTTTGCTTTAGTGTGATCCTAGAGGAAAGGTCAGTCAGGGACAGTTGCATGGACAGTTGCTCAAGTCCCAGCAAAGAAAGGGCAGAGCACAGCTTAACCAAGGGGACCAAGGTCCAGTGTTTCGGGCAGACTTTGGAATTTTGAGGGGTTCAGTTTAGTAGTAATATGCATTCAGGAGAGAGGGCTGCAGACTTGGGTTTGTTCGCATCAGTGAAGACCTTAAATGAGAAGCTGTCTGTACATGGGAACTGAGACACTCATTTCCTAGGATTTTATTGATGAACAAATTGCTGTGTTTAATATCTAGCCATGCTATTAATCATGTTAAGTCAACAACGGAAGGACTTTTATCTGTTTTACTGCTATATTGCCAGAGCATCTATAACTGGCATGTCTGAACTATGTTACCAAACAATGATTTTAGATTTCATAAGAAGGAAAATCTCAGTGGTTGTACTTTGGTGCTTTTATGATGTGACATCATCGTGCTCTCTTTTCGTGGGTCTGTGTTCTTCGCAAGGCTCTCCTTGGGCTCCCGAGTGTCTTCCTTGTGATGTGTGTACCTATGTTGACTCAGTTCAGGCAGATCTCAAAAGTCTTTGGTTTTAACTTAACGTGTTTTCTGAAGTGTGTGCTGCTTAATTCTTGAGTCTTGAGTTTAACCATTTCTAGCAATTAAGTGACATCACTTGTAGAGTTTCTGCTATTAGTGTCCCCACTGTATTCTTTTGGTTGTTATGTCATATAAATAGTTATATTTACTATATGGCGTTATTTTAAAATGCTCGCTTTGGTTTTATATATTTTCTGTAGTTCTGAATAAATCATTCTTAATTTTTCATATATGTTCTTAGAAAAGATGCAAGTTAAATTACGTGTTTACAGTGATATGATTACTTACTACTCTTAAACCCTCTGTGTCACATTGTCCTCTCTTTTACTTCTACATGTCATAAACCTCATGAGATCTAACAATTGTATCTTTGCTTTAAACAGCCAGTTATCTTTTAAAGAAATTAAGGCGATTCCTCCTGTGTGCCCCCCCACATCTACCATTCTGTAGCGTTAGCTAATCTAGAAGTAGTGTCCCCCTTGTGTAGATTCTCCTGGCATGTATTCTGGACCATGTTGGTCCTATCCTCTCTGACCTTACAGAGGCCATGTATATATCAAACTTCCTCTGCCAGTTTTAGGCCATTTCTGGCAAGGACTACAGTTTTTGCATTTTTAGATAATTCAGTGTATCTATCGAGCACAGGAAATACTTACTTTTTTTCTTTTTTTTTCCTTCTTTTTTAATTTAATTTTATTTTTTTTCTTTCAATATATGAAATTTATTGTCAGATTGGTTTCCATACAACACCCAGTGCTCATCCCAAAAGGTGCCCTCCTCAATACCCCTCCCCTCCCTCCCACCCCCCATCAACCCTCAGTGTGTTCTCAGTTTTTGAAAATACTTACTTTTAAGCATGTGAGTAGGGTTGAAGTAGTGTGTTTTTGACTGAGCGTCTGTATAACCTGACAACGTATAGTACCGTAGTTCACCATTAGATGTCACTCTGTAACATACTTTACATTCTTGCCAGACAATTCCTTACCGGAAACGCTTGTCAGATTCAGAAAGTTGGCATTGCTTAACAGCGCACTGACACTGATACATAGTGGTTTCTCTCTAAACACACATTCATAAATTATAATTGTTACTACCTTTTAATTCTACGTCTAAGTCTGTACTGAACCCAACTGATTTTCCTTAGTTTTCTTTAAAATTTGAATGCTGGCTTTATTTTTTGGTTATTCTCTATGTGGAGCAAAGTCTGCAAATATTACAAGTAGTGGTGGGAAGAAGTAGGATATTCAAGAATACCTTCAAACGTGTTCAGAATTCTTCTGTTAGTAATGCAATTTGAAAAATACCTTATTCCAGGAGGCTGACTGACCCCACACTCATGGGCGACTGCTGGTTTTGTTTGGGTGTGTCAGAGAAAGAGGGAGAACGGACTTGGCTCTGAAGAGAAACGTAGAGGCAGAGAACACGGAGACCTGTAGGCTCTGCTGGCCAGTCCTGGAACACAGGAAAGTGCCAAGAATGAGATTCCTTCACTCATTCCCACCCTTACAAGATAGGAAAGATCAGGTCAGGGGGGGTTTGATGTTCACCTTATCCCTAAGGGTGGCCAAATGCTAACCCATGTGACGATGCAGGGATCAGGTGTCTCAGGGCCGAGGACACTGCTGATAGTCCAGCCCCTCTGTGCCCAGCTGGGAGTCCAGTTGTATGCGTGAGCCTCTTCTGCAGCACTTTGCTCAGCCATGCTCCCTGTACGCTTGCCAGAACACAGCCAGTGACCATTTTCCTCACTTCGCTCAGAATATTGAAATTTGAATGAAACAGCGATGTTTCTGAGTGATACAATGAACAACCCCCCCTCCCCGCCCCCGCCAGCCCAAGCATGTGAACATTCACGCAGATGTGGATCCACCCATGTCCTCTGGGACACCAGCTCCCAGCCTTTCACACCTCAGCCAGAAATAACTATCTTACGGTTTCTGTTTATGGTTTTATTTGGGAAAAAAAAAAAAAAAGAATGTTGTCATTTATCAGTATGGTTTTATAAAATTCAAAATTTAAAACCCTGAGTATAATAAAATACCAAAGAATAAAGACATTTGAATCCATTTATATTGATCTGTCAAATTATACACAATGTATTATCAAAAAATGAAATTTTATGTTCTGCTTTTGCTTTAGAATAAGATATGCATTTTTTTTAATACGTTAGTATAGGATGACTACTAACCCTTATTGGGAAGACCTTTTTAATTCTTTGGTCTTAAAATGACATTTTTTTATGAAATAATGAAGCAAATGACAATTTTTGTGAAGTAATTGGTAATGTAGGTGTAGAAAATATAGTAGAAAGGTTGTCATACTCCGTACTACAGTAGTGTCCTCACCAGGAGTTAGGACGTGCTGAGACTGTTACTCACTTGTACTGATAGAGGTGCATCTTGTAATCCATATATTTTTTCCTCATGTTTTTGTGTATTCCTACAGTTAAAGAAGTGAACAGGTCATGGCACGTTTAACAAAAAGACGACAGGCGGATACGAAAGCTATCCAGCATCTTTGGGCAGCCATTGAGATTATACGGAACCAGAAGCAAATTGCCAACATTGACCGTATTACAAAGTGAGTAATTTAAGCAAAAATATCCTTGTGAAGTTTCCTATAAGATTTTTGGGGGGCAAAGGTCTAAAACCAACTTATTTATTATGCTCATCAACGCATTACAAACTAACAGTCACTTTTTGCCTTACATGTAACTTATTACAGAAGCATAGGCAACTTGTGTTTAGATGTTTTGTAAAGAAATATTAGAGAAGTAAAATACCAGTGTGTAAATATTAGAGAAGTAAAATACCAGTGTGTACTACTTACAATAGCTTTTTAGTTCTCAAAGATTTTTTAACTCTTGGGAACAGATCTTTAGGTCTTTTTTATCAAAAAGGCTTTGCTTCTGCGTAAACTGTCTAAAACCAGTGTGCTGTTTGTTGAGTGTTCACTGTCGCACACGTTGGTCCCTAGTCCACTGACCAGGACTTTCTGACCATTTCATTCTGTGTTTTGGAAATTACATTGCTTTGGTAGACCAAGATTCAGGATAGAAAATTATCAGAATACTTTATGAATTCTCTACTTACCTGTTATATACTGATTATAACAGGGTCTTCAAATGGAACTTGATTTTGTTCCTTTGTTTCTCTGAGTATTTTTAAGGGAATAGAGCTAAATCCATCTTTTTTAAATGGTTGAATGATATTTTTTGGTAATTTAGATAGAATTTCTTTATTTTCTACACATTCCTTAGATGGTATGTGTAAAAATGGAAACAAGTGATTTACAAAAGTTCATTTAGTGCTTATTTTTGCCTTTATTAATAAGTAACAACATTGAATACCACATATTTTTGTCTCTTGCCTACATTCTGTTAAAGATTATAAAGTTTACTCAAGAGGGCAGGGGCCAGAGAGGGAGAAAGAATAATGCCATGTGTTGCTCTAAGTCCGTATTTAAAGTTGCTATGTACATGTCCTAGCTCCTGAGGGCCACTAGCATAAAAATATTCGGTAACACTTGTATGGAAAATAAGAATAAAATAAAGAGCACATTATAATTAAATTCAAATTAGTATGTTTTTATAAAAAGCAAATAATTTGGGGGTGTGTTACAAAGTATAGGTTATAGTGAGATGGTATTGGAATAAAAACATGTTTTCAAAACCTCAAGAATAACAGCCATACGTATTTTCCTGTGGTTGGGATTTTTTAAAAACATAGTTTATGTCTATCAAAATTACCTACAGAAGAATGTGGAAATAAGATGCTCTTTGGGTTTAAATTTTAAACTTCAGGTCATCCCAGTTTGACAGAACTGTCCCGGTGTTGGAGGCGCTTCCTCCTCCCTGGGCTGGCACCTGCTCTGGGAGCCTTGGAGGCGTCTCCTGGTGCCAGGCGTCCATAGTTGGGCCGCGAAGGTTGCCGCTAGTTGATGGCAGTGGTGGTGCAGGTGCCGCGCAGGTGATGTGACATCTGTGTGCGCTCTCGTGAGAGAGGAGAGGCTCGTAAGGAGGAGCGCACACCGTGTCGTGCCCTTTCTGCGTTAGGGATTGTTGATAAGCGTTCTCTTTTCTCCCTTCTCCGTCAGCTCAGCGTTCAGGCTGCCAAGGCTGACTTTTCTCCATGACCTCAGGTCCGTAGATCTTAAGATACATATGAATAAATGTAGTCATCTACCAAAAATTATTGTTTTATTAGTGTCATCTAAAGATGAAAAAAAATTAACCAGCGGGTAACTGTTTAAGAGTGGTGGCCGGTGTCTCTTCCGCTTCGTCTGAGAGGACCTTCTTCCTTCCTGTTATGGGTGCGCTTGATGGTACAAAGAAGAACCAGACAACACTGTTTCTGGCACAGCCTGTGTGTCATTAGTTTCCTACCAGGCCATCAGCCCCAAGGAGGAGCTGTCTGCTTAACCTCCTGGCCTGCTGCCTTAGCTCCTGGGTTGAGCTGGTGTCCTTGTCACTACCCTGGCCAAGGCAGGTTGGGAGAAGCATTGCCCCATGATAGGAAGACAGGTGGCTGTTCTGTATTCTAAATAGGTAAATACTTTTCACGTCTTAGATTAACTTAAAATCGAATTGCTCCGCTTACTTACAGCGGAGGCTGAACATAGAGTTACCTTTTAATTTTTACACATATGGCGAATTCCTGACGGCTGTAGCAGAGTTACTGCGAAGAGGGTGTATGTAGTCATCAAGGTCCTTCTGTGTTATGTCTGGTGATGGGCTCCATTGTAGGAATGGAACCTGTCTTCAGTCAACACTTTTTAACAGTTTTGGGCTTTGGGATCATGGTTCTTTATGATATTTTGAAGCCTGGCAAACCCCAGACACTGTAGTTAACTTCTGTGCAGTGTTTTAGTTCTGCTTGTTTTTGTTTCTGTTTGAAAGTCTCTTTGAGGTCACCTTCAATCTAAAGGTTTTCATTCATCCTTGTTGTTGTTTTCCTTCGCAGTTTATTGAAGAAACTGGTTCATTTGCTCTTAGGTTTCCCACAGTCTGGCTTTTGCTGGTTGCATCCTGTGGTGTATTTGTTTCTCTGCGTTTTGTGGAAATTGGTAGTTTTCTGGAGGCTTGGGTGGGGTGAGACTCCTTTGCAGTAGCATGTGGTCCTACCAGGAGGTCATATGCCCATTTCTCATGCGTGAGATTGGCAGTTGTGATGTACAGCGAGTAGTGCCCGTAACTCATTAAGGATCCTCAACAGGATTACTTCTATAAGGATGTAAACTTGCCTCTGCATCCTGTGTGGCAGCCCCATGGTGTGTCCATGTCCAAAGGGAGAGTAACTGACTCTTTGCCTTTATTTGCCAGTGTTTAAAATGGCATCCTCTCCTGGTAACCAATTCGTTTTTTTAAAGTGCCATTCGGAATTCATGCGTTTAAATACTTTTATTTTTTTTATTTTTTCAACGTTTTTATTTATTTTTGGGACAGAGAGAGACAGAGCATGAACGGGGGAGGGGCAGAGAGAGAGAAGGAGACACAGAATCAGAAACAGGCTCCAGGCTCCGAGCCATCTGCCCAGAGCCTGACGCGGGGCTCGAACTCACGGACCGTGAGATCGTGACCTGGCTGAAGTCGGACGCTTAACCGACTGCGCCACCCAGGCGCCCCAAATACTTTTGATACGTTTCAGTCCATTTCTGACAAAATCCTTATTTATGCTCAAATTTTTCCATCTTTCACCAGTTGGAGCCTCTCTACATTGACTCCTAAAGTGGCTTTCTGCTTTTTCTTGCAACAGGGTTTTTCAGGCTCATCTGTTTTATACCCTTGGAACCATTGATTTCTCCAAGGAGCTCTAATTTCCTTCACTTAGAAATTGTATTTCAGAAGCATGTCTGGCCCTCAGTGTGCTCACTGCTGCTTGGTTGATCTTTCCAGGCCTTTTAGAGGGCAGAGGAAGTATATATAATTTTAAGACAAAAGAACACCCTATTAATGAATACTGATATTTTCCATTTGAATTTATAGCTACTAGTTTTTCCCAAACTCTTCTACCAAAAATGTTTCTCTCTTCTTACATAGTAAAGACATCATGAATCGTAACTAGTCAGTTGTTTTATCCAACATTATATGTCAAGCTATTGCAGAGTAACCACACCAACACTATAACCAATAAATAGTATGTTTGATGGAAACCATCTAAATTACTTTACCCATTGTTTTCAAACAGTTGTACTGATTCTAACCTGCCAGAGGTGAGAGCGATTACATGTTCTACTTTCTTCCTCACAATTGGCATTTGGTCTTCGTCTACAAACAAGTATTCATTTTATGGTTACCACCAGCCCTTCTCTTGCTATCCACAATTCATTCTCTGGTAGATTCTTTTTATTCTTGTTCCCCAAGTTTTACTGAGATGTAATTGACATATAATATTGTGTTAGTTTACAAGGTGCATGACATAATGATTTTGTGTTTGTACCTATTGCAAAATGATCACCATGATATGTTCAGTTAACACCCATCACCTTGTTTTTCCTGTGATGAGAACTCAGATCTGCTCTGTTAGCACCTTCCAAATACATAGTACAGTGTTATTAACTGTAGTCAGCATGCTGTCCACGACATGCCTGGGACTCATTTATCCTATGACTAGAAGTTTACAGCATTGGCTCCCTTCACCCATTTCACCCAACACTTGCCACCACCAGTCTGTTCTGTTTCTGTGAGCTCAGTCTTTTTAGATCATACAGTGTTTGTCTTTCTTCGTCTGACTTCCTTCACTTAGCATAATACCCCCAGGTCCTTCCACATTGTCACAAAATGGTAAGATTTCCTTCTTTTTGGCAGAATAATAATTCCATTGTATATACACCACGTCTTCTTTATGTATTCATCTGTGGACGGGCACTTAGGGAGTTTCCATGCTTTGGCTACGGTGAGTTTGCTGCAGTGAACATGAAGTGCGCAGACGTTTTTGAAGTGTGATTTCATTTCTTTCAGATAAATACCCAGAAGTGGGATTGGTGGATGGTACAGTAATTGTGTTTTAATTTTTTGAGTAACCTCCATGCTGTTTTTTCAAAGTGGCACAAACATCTACGAGATTCTTAAGGTTTCATGAGAAGTGATTTTCAAGTTCTTGCTGGTTCTTAACAGTTGGTTGCAGCCTTTTTTACTGGAAAGTCAGTTTGGCTGGGTATAAAATCCTTAACTTCTTTCTTTTTTAGGGTTTTTATAGGTTATGTATGCTGGCTTATAGAGCCTCTCGTGGTTGCCATGTACCCTAGGAAAGAAGCCTGTGCTTCTTTACCAGTTTCTTTTAATTACCTCTCTCTGTTTTTAAACAGCTAGTGTTCTGTTCAAAAAAAGGAGTGGAAAAGGAATTATAAATGAGAGAATCATTGTTGAGATTTATTGTGTATTTCAAGTATTTAAAAAGTATAACTTCCAGAAACTTCTTTAACAGGTTCTATTATTTGGGATGGAGAGTACTTTCACCAAAGGAGTCCTTCTGAAATCAAAGTACATCTATGGGATTACGTTTGATTTTTTAATTAATGGTGAAGCTGTCTCTCTGTTTTAAAAGTACAGATTTATAGATTCAATTTCATGATAATATAAA